CTGGCTGCCCGCAGTCCTACAAAGTGTCAGAGATGCTGCGAGGCAAATTGTCGGCCACCGTAAAGAGCAGGATAACTGCGGTAAAGTTTGCTTCATATGTGGGGTTGTTTTCTGACCAAGAACTTGACACATAGGCTTGTCTGGCAATGTGTTCCTCAGTTTGAGTTGTACCCGGATACTGGCATCGCTCTGCTCTACCTTAAAATGCCACAGGACTTCAGTTTTCTCCTGCAATTGGCGAAAAAGAGTCGACTGAAACTGGATGGGAAGAAGCTGACCATCAGCCCTGTATACTTGTTCTGGGACATGAGGGCCATCACAGAGGTCGTATGCCATGACAACACCGCAAATTGACGTGATGTATCATTAGAACCTCTCTTACACTGTCGAACCTTTTTCCTTAGTTTTCACAGAAGCGGCCTGCCCCTCCCAAAAAAGAGACCAGGGACTCTCTCACAGCCAACCGCTTCGAGGAGAACGGTGCTCTCCTCTATTCCTTACGCTCCATGGAGAAACATGCGCCGTGGGTGCGACACGTCTACATCGTCACGAACGGGCAGATTCCATCCTGGCTCAACCTGCAAAACCCCCGCGTTTCAATTGTCACACACAAGGTAGCATTGCAGCCTCTCGCACTTATTCCCCCAACTGCTCGGGCACGAAGCGGGGACGCGTTCGGATCACTTCTGTCAAATGTACAGGTACTGCATCTCCTCTGAATTTCAGGAAATCTTCCTGAACATGAGCCATCTCCCCAACTTCAACTCGCACGCTATCGAAAGCCACCTTCATCGCATCCCAGGCATCTCGCAAAAGTTCCTTTACCTCAACGATGACATGATGTTTGGCAAAGACGCATGGCTGGACGACTTCTACACCCCAACCGATGGGCAGAAAGTAATAAAAATAGACGAGCATCATCTTTGAGCATCAAACGGATATCAATTAATTTTGACACCTCTTTTTCAAACCAACACAACCGTCCTTTGACTTCCCTGCAGGTCTATCTGGCCTGGCCTTTAGGTGCCTGTTCAAAAGGCTGTCCAGGAAACTGGATCAACAACGGTCTTTGTAATCCACAATGCAACAATGCCGCTTGTCAATGGGATGGAGGCGACTGCAAAGGTAGTGATCAACGACAGTCATGCCGCACAATTGGATGCATCTGCCTTTCAAGACATTGCACACGTTTTTGGACTTTTGAAGGAAGAAACCGCATGTCAAAAAGAAGTGCTCGTGATGGTGATCTACCTCAAGCTAAGAAGACTCAGGCAACCAGCCAGAAGTCAAGCCTGACACAAAACCCACCGAGCTTCTTCTCAAACGAGAATGAGAACAGAGATCCCCATATCCAGAGCAAACAGCATGGGGAGAAAAAACAGATCAACACGGAAGCGGTTGACTGGAAAACTCCTTTGGAGATGAAGCTCCAACAGTTTGTTTCTTCTTTCAAGGGATTCCTCAAATACTTTCAAGAACTACTTGAGGTAAGTGCGACCTATTCTAACTTTGTATCATGCCATCTGAAGTGGCATCCTTTACTTTTGATGTAAAAGGAAGATGATCATCTACAAAGAGCGCGAAGAGAGCAGAGGAAGCTGAAGATCAGTTTTACTGCCACACTACGATACGTCAACAGGCTGTACAACCTCAAGTTTGGCGGCATGATCCGAAA